GTAACTGGCTCATGTATTTCCTGGGTAACCACTAGAAAGTCTCAGCAGACCAATTTATTTTCCCCCTCTTGGTTTGAGGGGAAAAAAGGCCTATTCTTTCATTTTACTGTCTGTGAGGGAGTAAATCTGATTTTTGTACGAGTAGATGAAGAGGGAGCAAACCACCGCAATGGAGCTTGAATACATTCTTTCAATCTTAAAGGCAAAGGGTGCTTGCATCAAGAACCTGCAGAGTGCTGCCTATCCAAGGATGGGGAATGGAGGGAGGAGGGAATAGACCTATAGGATCATGTACCCTAATTCCAGTTCCAGACATCTAGAAATCATGATTCACATCCACAAAAGTCATGAATCGTGAGATTTAAAACAGCAAGTAGTAAATTTTGTGGTTTATCTCTTTATTTGTGGTTTAAGCCTTTTGGACATACTTAGATCACATTTTCCATTCTTTCCCATCATACCCGAGGACAACAAAGTTATGTCTTGGTTTTAAAATAACAATTAGAGTTCTCATTCTCACTTGACTTCTGGCTTTAGTGCTATATGAAATATTTACAGTATCACAAGATCTCACCCCCTGATATCCAGTAATGGGTGCAGTCCAGTAAGTATGAGATGGGAGACTTGAGGCTGCATAGTTCCCATTGGGGTTATAGATGGGCCAGTTAATATCTGAATTAGCGTACATATGCATGTTATAAATGTTGCATAACTGTGTAACAACTAGCTCCTCCTTATAGTTAGATTCTTTGCTACAGTATTTAAGCACAATAGCAATAATAATATATTCCATTATTGTTGCTTATTTTCATATAGATACAGGCAGAACAACATTTTACAAAATGAACTATTTTGGATCAGTGGAGAAAAGGTAGCTCCATGAGATGTCTATGTACCTCTGCAGTGTAAAATACTGAATGAAATTGTGAGAAAAAAAATCCTTTTTGGCATGTTTACAAGACATGGCGACAGTCTGGAGACATGCGTCCTACACCTGAATTCTGAAAATCCTCAGATGAAGGGATGATATCATGTTATAGCCATACAGATATGCAAAATCAGCAGTGTGTATAGCAAATGAATAATCACCATATGTCATACTGTCTGTCATTGGGCCTTTCCAAGTATGCACATTTTCTTGTTGCTTACATTAGTGAGATCAGCCCACAGACTGGCCTGCCTTCTGCTTGCCGTGTTAACTCCTGCCTGTCCTCCTCCCTCTTTCTAGACGGAGCTTAGCCTCCAGCTGTGTCACCCCACACAAGGCCTCAGCTTTATCGCTCCTCGGGCTGATTAATGGTCATGAAGAGAAGACAGGAGCAGTCTTTAGGAGAACTTAACTTTTAGCTGTATTACATTGCAGGGGAACAAACCCTGAGAATGGGAGTTCCTCTCTGGTTTTACGCCAGACAAAACAAGTCTATCCTATGGGCTGTGAGCCAGCTCTGTGTACTGCCAAAACGAATGCCATCAGATTACACTGTCACATGTCCCTTCCACAGACAAACTAATCTTAGGTGACATAAAACATGCATGCATTCCTAACATTATGAGGGGTTAATAATATCTGCCCTCCTATGCTGTCTGTCACTTTGGAGAGATAAGAGCAGGCTGGTGACTGGAACTGAGGTCCAGCAAATGTGAATGTACGTATATTACCTGCCTTGTTCCATTTAATGGATTGCCCTGGCTGGTGAGCAGGTGCATAAGCTTGTGGTATGAAAGGGCAAGAAAATGACTTCTGTGCTGCTCCCCACGTGCGATGGGGCTGAACACAACCTTCACTCCCCTTATTTCCCAGATTTGTCTGTGGACTGCTCCCTTCTAACACTTTCCGAAAGGTAACATGTAGTCCTGCCCCTGCCAGTCGCCATCAGCTGTTGAGTTTGGGATTGATGTGTCTTCCACAATTTTTTTTTTCACTTCTGACCATCAGAAGGACACAGTGATTGCCAGAGCCAGCAATGCATGGGGAAAAAAGGCAGTAAAACCAATGAAAATAGTGAATAAATAATAAACATAAATAGCTTAAAATTCTGGGAAACTGAAGGAACAAATTTATGCATCTGTCCAGCCCATAGGACAGTTTTCAGTCACTGGGGTTTATTTGTAACAACTGCTACCAGAGGTACCCCAAGTAAGAACCCTCAAAAGCCTGCATTCAATCGTGGGGCTGCTGGAGGATGTGGTATTGTCATTGCCAGTGTGAGGAGGGTCTCATTCCATCGGGCACCTCCTCCTTTTTGGTCCCATCAGAAGCCAATGTATCTACAGTGTGTGTTGATTGCAGGAAGTTGTCTGGTAGTGTTGACTTGTGTGGGAGTTTCTAGGTCATTTCTCCCTTGTGTTGACCCACAGCTTCAGAATCAGAGCGAGCTCCGTGCCCCTACGGCAGAGAAGGCTGCCTTCTTCCTCGACGCCGCCATCGCCTCGCGTCGCAGCAGCCAGCGGGACTGCGACGAGGAGGATCACCGCAACTCCCACATGCTCTTCACTCTGCACATCTACCAGTACCGCATGGAGAAGAGCGGCAAAGGCGGAAGTAAGCTGCCCTCTCACTCCCTTCGGTTTCCTCCAGGCCTGCCTGGAGACTGGCTTTAAACGGGCCTTTAAACAATATTCTTCAGTTCTCCATTCAGAATGGGGTGAGACCATTCATACCAGCAGACTGGTAAAGACCCACCAAATGCCATTAAAGGCCACTGAGGAATATTACCATTAATTATCAATTTAGTTGTCATTGTGGAGATATCAACAGTTAATCCTCAGCACTGTGTGGGCCTCTCTAGCTAAAAAAACCCAGTGCTTTTCAGATTGGCTTTTAGTATTATCTTTACTGATAGTGTTGAGGTCATGGATTAAAACATTGTGGCAACGGGCATTCCCTGCTACCCTTAGGTTTGCTGCTCCCCTTTGGCACCCAGACAGTGCGGTGTGTGTGGAAGCTGGTGTTGGCAATGTACAAACTGTAGCTTTTCCTGGAGATGCATGACATTTTAGTTACTGGCCCAACTACATGCACAAAGCGCTCTCATGGTCACGTTTAAAGGCTCGGAGCTTTTCAGATTGGCTTGCTCCCTTTCTTTGCCATAGATGCTTTCACTGGCTTGTGTCTTTACTTCCATCTCCCACTTTTAAGTGAGGAAAAGATGCTTCCATGTCTACTTATATGTTTCTGTAATGTTCAAAGGTTTCATTTGACTCGCACAATTTGTATTTTTTTATTATATTTATCTTCCATTTCAAGTCTCCCAAATTGTTTATAACTAGAGATATACAAAGCGGGTTTTTTTAGTGAGTTCCAGAGATAAAAGATTTGTATAACATAAGAAGCACCCTCACCGAAAAAGAAAACTTTCACATTAAAACCCTTTTTTAGAAAAAGGGTTTTTACAGGGAAAAAATGTTTGAAAGACACCAGAGAGCTCTGCTTCTTCAAATTTGTGGGCTTACGCAATTCTGCCGAAATAGCATATGTTTCAGCTCCTGGCTCTGCATAGGTTATTTGTAATAAGGAATAGATTGCAAGCTATGATGTGCAGTGGGTGAACACCACTGCTGTATTAATGTCTAATGTTTGAATGCAGAAAATTTACATTGACTGCACTTATGGGAGAAAACCAGAAAGTTGCTCTAAATGGAAATGCACTTTGCATGTGTTTAAGTAATAACCCCTGTGGAATTGGCAGGCAGAAATCTCAATTAACTAAAGGTTTATTAATTAACCACCCTGTGGTAGAAAGGAAGACTGAATGCTCAGACTGGTTCATAGCAATAAAGATGGCAGATTTTGAGGGAATTATTATTACAATTATTTAATGCTCCATGCATTTTTACTGCACGCAAGTGTACATACACACAGTCCTTTTCTACTATTTTCAAATGCAATTAATAAAAGGGAAAAAAAAATTTCTGTGGATATAATGACTCATTTTAAAAAAAGGAGACATGATCCTGTTGGATTATAATATGGCATGCTTTGCCCGCTGCCTGTAGTTGTATCTCTGTCTCGTGGCCATACCATCTCCTGTCTTCAAGTTTCCATATCTGAGTGGCCTCACAAGCCAGGCAGGGTCAGATCTCACTGATAATTGAATGAGGGGGGAATTCCAGCTGCTCAGAAAGGGCGCCTAGTGATTATCACTGTCTCCTGCTGTAATGAAGGACTTTTCAGAAAACAACGTGAAGATAGTAGAGATATATAGATTCCAGTAACAGGATTAAAAAAGGATGGGGGCGGGGAAGAAACCCAGCTTCTAAAGGATAAGAGATAAAAGGGCTGGCTAACATATGATTTCGGTAAAAAATGACTGTTAGAATAACGCTTAGGTACTGTACTTACCTCCTTGTTAGATTCATTACCAGGAATGTCATGAAGCAGGCTTAGCACCATTGAAATAAATGGCATTGTGGCAGAACTGGCACAGTCATTTCTCAGCTGTCAGCTGTGAAAAGTCTCAGTGGCCATAGACAAAAACAGGCGTTAGATTGTTCCACTTTTTTTCTCTCTGTAGTTGCCAGGAACGTTAGTGGAGAACTTGCCTAAACCAATAACTTCATTTTCAGATCAAGCAAGTGGATCTGTCATCCTAAAAATGTCCTACTTTGACTTGTAAATTAAATAAGGAGGAAAGATCGATTGATTTCTCTTACTCTGGATTTCCTCAGCCTGTGTAATAGGAATATGTGTGGAAACATTATGATTAAGATTTTGAAGGGTGGTGATTTCTTTCATTTTCTTTTGGTTCCCCAATGTCTGGTAATCTTAGCAACAGAAATATTTATTATATATAATGCAGTAAAGTCACCTGCAGTCATTTTCAGTAGCAACTAAACACATTTCTTTGTTTTTCTAAGTAAATCCTTGGGGGATACTCAAAAAAAGGTAATTTCAGCCTTCTGAGGGTAACTGTCTGAGAGGAGTCAGGGACTCTTAAGTGTTTTAAGGACTCTTAGAGGGGAGGCAAAGGTCCTCCATGAGCATTTCAGAGGAGGTGAAGGTGCAGCTGCCTGGCTTGTTCCCCAGGGAATCCTGACTTTCTGCAACAAGTGCAGGAGCCTGTAGTCTGAGTGAATACTTCCCCATAGAAGTATCTCACTACTTCCCACCACTGCGGGCACAGTGGTGAAACTTCCGTGGCCATGTTCAATGGGTTGTTGTATAATCTGGGGACCGTTACAGTGTTTTGAATGTCCAGCCACCAACATTAGTTTTAATCAGACATTTATCCTTCACTTCTGTTTCGTGATACTCAGCATGACTTAACCAATATCGCAGTATAATTTAATACATGGAAGTCCTGTGCTGCCTAATACCTGATATAGCAGAAGCACTAACGGGACTTAAAAGAAGCAGAAGTTACTGCATTTTAACAATTGTTGTCAAAGATGCTGGCTACATTTTTGGAATATTATTCTCAAATCCCATAGCATAAACTACTTTCACAGAAAAAATCTCTTCTTCTCTCTTCTTCCTTCTTTCTTTTTTCTCTCTGCTTATCTTTATCCATGTTTCTTTTTTTTCTTTTATCATAAAAATCTACTTGTTTTATTGTTGTTAATTAGCTATCATTACAACTGAAACAGAATGGTAGAATTATATATAACATTTCTACAGAAAGGCTTTATGTCATGCAAGATACCAGGTAGTAGTTTTAAGCGGTGAGCCCTGTGTTTTGCAGTGCTTGCAAAATGAAATATCTCCTTATTTTTTCAGTGTAGGTTACACGTTTTAAATTACAGCTAATATATATACCTTTAGTAGCTGTATGTTTTCTATATTTATATACATTTATCATAGTAAACCTTTCTATGAGCAAATCTACAAAATTATATGATCATGTATCACCTTTTTGTTAATATATATATATGTTTTACACGTGTCTTCTTCACATAGCTATGCAAACTTATTTCCTTCTACCTCCTATGACACCTACCTGCCTGTACACCATGGCACGGTACCACAGCTACTGAATGCGGGGTCATTGGAAAAACATGCTTGTGGTTGATAAGACATTTCCAAAGCAATGAAATGTGTCTGGAAACTTCTTTTCTGAGGTCCCCTTCATGTAGTTGCTCCCACAACCATCTTTTCTTGTGAACTGGTTTCCCCCCACTGCTAATACTTATTTTTACCAGCTGTATAAGTTTAGGTGCTGTGTCAAAATGGCTGTGAATTTATTTGCATAGATGTAACCCAGATGTATTTCTACTCCTGTTTAAGTTATGTTTCTGTCCTCAAGTAGTGCTCTTAACTTTTGAGTTAAGATCCTAGAAATAAAACTGCCTTTTCCTACAGATTGCTTCTAACCTCTTGAGAATAGGGAGGAGTGGTCAAAGATCAGATGCAAAAACACCCAGCTAGGAAATTGTCTTGAGATAGTAGAGAATGAGAAGCACTTCTATAAAGTCGACATAGTCCCCATCCTGGGTTCATAAGGAACCATAGGTTTCTAAAGAGCAAATGTCTGTTAATCTCGATGTTTCAACAGTAGCCTCTTTTCACTTTAAATCCAGTGTGTTCATACAGAGTAAACAAGAAAAAAAACCCACATAGGGATCCACTGCCAGTTTTACAGAAACTATTTTCAGAACAGAGCAGCTTGTCCACAATGCATTACCCATGGCATGGCAAACCTTTTTTTTACCCAAATGATAATGTAAAAGTATATAGACTTAAAGCAAAGTTGAACGTCTCACAGACACCACAGGTTCTTCTGAAGATCCAGTATTCAAGGTGGGAGAGATAAGAGAAGCTACCACAGGATCACTGCTCACCAAGCAGTAATTCCCAGCCTGTAGTTTTCTGGACAGAGGATCCGTTATGACAGAGGCAGAAACAGAGCCAACTCAGGTGAATGCTAATAGAGCTGTATTTAAAAAAATAAAAAATAAGCACAGTGGTGACTCCCACAGAGTTAAACCTGCAGGAGTGGGTGAATACTGAAAGCCTCAGCAATTTTTAAGCAAGTCCAAACTGGACAGCGATGCAGAGCCATAGAGGCTGACAGTGAGTTAACAGGACCCCTACAGTTTGTTGCTGCTAACATGAATCAGGAAAGGTTTCTGGATTGTTTCCTCTTTGCAAGTCGTGGCAAGTCTTTTGCTTTCCTGGGAAGTTGCTTTTGGAGGCACATGCTAACTGCTTGCTTTCTTTGTTTATGGCAGTGTCTGGAGGTCGCAGCCGCTTGCACCTTATTGACCTGGGTAGCTGCGTGAAAGTGCTCAGTAAAAACCGGGAGGGAAGCTCTGGCCTCTGTCTCTCATTGTCAGCACTGGGCAACGTCATCCTCGCCCTGGTCAATGGAAGTAAACACATCCCGTACAAGTAAGTGGTATTTGATGTCATACCTAACGAGAGGATGCTTGCAATCAGTTTGCTCGTCTGGGCCTGAGGCAGACTTGGGGTAAGCAGGGAGACACTCTGCTGGGGTCAGTGCAGCCCTCGTGAGGTACGGCAAAACTTGCCCAAGGCTCAAGCGACACCTGAGCTAACCTTACATCTGGTACCTACACTGTATTTGACATTCAGGTTTCAAAGGAAGAAGCCTGCTGAAATAGGACCCAGGTGTCTCAAAGATCTTAAGGCTTAAAGTTCAGCATATTAGGATTTTGTTTTCTAGTACTGTTCAAAGATTTTTTTAACGTTTCAAAGCATCTGAGAGCCAGTTTCCTATTTGCTCCACAGAGACAAATGTTGCTGCCGTAATGCAGCACTATACAGAAAATTATTTTGCTGTCCATTGTGTGGAGTTTAGTTTCTTGAAAATATAAGTCACATTGAGCATGCATGTTTGTCATGAGATTCTTTCTGTGATCCAAGGTTACTTTGCATTTTATTTTTGTATGATTTGAATCTCAGTGTCAGCCTTTCACTTGCAAAAAAAAGAAGTAGGCCCTATTTGTCACACTAGACGAGTGGCCTTTGCTACTGCAGGTAGCTTCTGGGAAATTAGAGGAATTGCTCACCCTGCGGGTATGTTCTATACTCATTTCTCTTCATCGTTGTCTCACCCCATTTGTCATGTGTGCAGGTCTGAAAGCGAGTTTGGATTTATTACCCAACCCAGACAGTCATGCAGCCTTCCTATTGAGAAGTTTCTGATTTTGTGGACAGTATTGCTTTTCCCTAGCCTAAAGCCTAGGGAGTAGCAAGTACTATCACAGGAATGGCTTACTGTAGCATCTTGTAATTGAACTGCTCATGAATGTCGCTATTCATGAAGGACATGTATATGAGATCTTGAGTTAGGAACAACAGAATGACATGACAAATGAACCAAGTCATTCACAGAGCGTATTTCAGTCCACATATTTTACCTTTTTTGTCATGTTAGAGGCTACAAACGTGATTATTTTCTCATGTTAATTCAAGATTGCAAGGTAATGACAATTTTTACTTCTCTGGTTTTGTCTTCATTTTGGAAAATAAAGATGAATTTAATTTGGTTATAATTTTATTTTTCTTCTAACATTTATGTTCCAAAATTATTTGGTGGTCTGAGCTTAAAACATGCTCTCTGGAAATACCGCTGTTCCTGGAATTCACTCAGACTGGAATCCAGTTAAGGGCCAACTAAATTTGTGCATATAAATGTTCATGAAATGTTTTGTGGGTTATGCACCTAGTCATAGTGTGAAAATAGCTTGAATTCACTCTGCACTTCACAAAGCGTAGCTCAAACTGTGCTTATCAAAACTCTGTCTTCCTTCCTGTCATGTTTTATGTATTGATGGGAAGGCAAACTGCAGGAATAGAAAAATGATGTTAACAATGCTCCCTAAGCTAGAACTAAACATACTCTGGCAATGCCTGACTGGGAGAAATATGTTACCAAACATGTCTTCTACCTGCTGCGCTACCAATCTTCTGTGATTCCCAGGTAAAAGCTCTCTTCCAGCCAGCATCTCCTCTTGAGTTTGCTCCTAGAAAAGCAGATAGTATGGAGTATAAATATAGAGAGGTGGTTGGTCATCTGTAAATCAGAGGCAATATCTCTGTTTCTAAGGAGGACTTTTAAAATGTAATTTGAAAACCATATTGGCATATTTTGGAACAAATTTTGTCCACTTCTTGCTGAGAAGAGTGCAGAAAGCATTTCCCCCCCAAAATATGATCTATTCACAAGCAATGGCAGTAAGAGTCTGGGTGGGTGCAAACACTATTTGCACGGTGATCCAGCAGTACAGGTGTGGGCTGCTTCTTGGTGGAGAAGAGAGAAGGAGGGGGAGGGTGTGTGCTGCTTCATGGAAGAGGCTGAGCATCCCATAGACTGATGTCCTACATGTTCAGTAGCACCTCTTGTTTAGAGGAGCAGCTAGCCTAACTAGCTGAGATCATTTCCCTTTCTTTAGGGGTGTTCTCTTTCATTGTTAAGGATAAAACTGAAGTTTGATAACTGCCTTTTTTGAGCGGGACCAAAGGAAAACAACTGAAGTGTTTTCTTTTGTGACAGCACTGCACATTGTGGTCTCAGCAAATTTCCATAGAGCAGCAGACAAAATGGAGCATCTTTTCTTTATCTGAGCAATTAACCAGTCATTAAGTATTTTATGGGAGCCTGTCAGTAGGCACTGTATGGCTTCCTGGGTGCCTGGGAACTCACAATTTCATAAACATCAGGTTTTCTCTTACTGCAGAAATTTAGTTCTCTCAACTCTGAGAGGCTGCAGGCTCTTAAACTCCCTTCAGTGCTGTATCCAGCTTTA